CGCTTGGAATCTCATGCCTTTAATCCCAGCATTAGAGAGGTGGAGACAGGAAGTGATATGGCTGGATGGAGAGAGGAATTTAAGGCAGGAGGAGGCAGGGGCTCAACCCCTTTTCAGTCTGAAGAGTTTGTAGAGGTAAGAGCTCTAGTGGCTGGCCACTATGCTTCTCTGATCTTTCAGCTTTCATCCCATAATATCTGACTCCGGGTTTTTATTGTTAAGACCAATTAGAATTCATGCTACATTGCTCTCTAGTGTATACACTTCCTGAGACCAGGGGTTGGATCTTATTTCTAAAAAAAGGTCCAAATGAAGAGCTTCAAGTGGTCAATGCCTGCTGACAGTTGGAGAGTCAGTCCTCCAGAGGCATGCTCCCACACAGGTTGTCCAATCCGAACGGGTCATTCTTGAGCACCTGTACATACAAGCAAAGGTAAATGGACCCAGGAGGTCATACTGGTAACAATAATAATTTAAAAAGAGATGATGGCTAGGTAGTGGCAGCACAGGTCTTTAATTCTAGCACTTGGGAGGCAGAGGCAGGCAGACCTCCGTGAGTTAGAGTTCCAGAACAGCCATGGCTACACAGAGAAAGCCTGTCTTGGAAACCTGAGGGTGGGGAGGAGAGGAAGGGAGGAGGAGAGAAGGAGAGAGACAGGATAAATTTGGGAAGGGGACACAGAGCTGGAGGTGGAGGAGTCAGAATGAAGTAGATGTGGTGTGCATGTATGAAGTTCTCAAAAAATTACTAAACTAACAAAAACTAAGAAAGGAATGGCCAGGGCCTAGTCAATTCCTGGCAAATCGTACTTGCTTGATAGGTAGTTGCTCAATACCAATATGAATTTAAGTTAAAAAAACTCTGTCTCCTGAGAGTACAGACCTACAAGAGAGGCACTTTTGTGACTCTAGTTGTCTGTGCAATGTTTGAAGTCTGAAACAGGTATCTTTATTATTTTCTCTTAAAAATTTAAATCCTGCCAGTTCCTAGAAATAAATTTTAATTATTCCCTTTCTCCTCTATATAAAATGCAGCTTCTAATTCTTGGAGAAAAGAGGAATGTGGGCAAAGTGCAGACCAGGCCTGGGATGATTCCTATTCCTGATTATTTCTTGTCATTGTCTAAGTAGCAAAGTTAATTCTGTATCATCAGAAATAAATTCACCTGTTTATTGCTCTTTAGAGTATATGTGGGCACTAGTTAATCAGAGTCTTTGCCCAGCATGCATGAGGCCCTGGGTTTGACCACTAACACTGAGAAAAATTGGGTGTGGTAGCCTGGAATCCCAGCACTTGGGAGGTAGAGGCAGGTGCTCAAGGTCAGCCTGGGAGATGGCTCAGTAGGTAATGTGCTTGCTGGAAAACCACAAGGACCCAAGAGATTAATCCCTAGCACCCACATAGAAATGTTAGGCATGGTGGTACATGCTGTCATCCTAGAACTGGGATATGGATGTCAGTTCTCTAACCCAGGGCAAAGGCTCCCTGAGGTGCCTATTAATATATCTGATCTGATGCCGGCAGCCAGGTTCTCCCAGCATCCTTCAGTCCCTACCTATTACAGGGTCCTCCTGGCTGGCATACCTCCTCCCCCTACTCTAAGCTTCTCCAGTCAAGGGATTGGACTGGACTGCCCTTTGCCAGCTGCTCTTCCCTATAACCTCAGCCATTTGGGCTATCAGCTATCTTGGCCTCTGTGTCACTTGGTGGCCTCTCTTGGTTTCTGTTCTCCTGCCTGTTGGCTCCTGGCTCTGTCCTCTCCTCATGTGGTCCAGCTCAATTTGCCGGTTATGTTCACTCTGGACTCTCCCGAATGCCTCTGGCTCTGCCTGTATTCTCCCTTATATCTGTAATAGAAACCTCAACCCTTAGGAGTATCCATGTTCTCCTTTTTTCATTCAGTGAGGACAAGAGGACTCTGGGAAATTCACTGACCACCTAGTCTAGCCTAATAGGTGACTTTCAGGCCAATGAGAGACATTGACTCAAATGAGCTATATATGTTTCTAAAGGATGGCACTTAAGATTGTCCTCTGGTCTCCAACACCCATGTGTACAAACAGAAATACTCCTGTGTAGCCAAGGGTACCCCCCCAACCATTCCCCCCAACACTCAACATAAATTTAAAATGCCCGCTGTTAGCCTTAGCTATGTTAGACCCCCGAAAAACTCAAGTATCCGGGGTCCCAGGCCACGTTCTCGGTCACCCCAATCACCAGGCGGATTCGAGAGCTTGCTGCAAACTGCACGAGGCTTTATTGTAATTTAACGAGCTAACCCCATGTTAGCTCGGGTCTTTCACCCACCCGCCATGGCAGATGGCTAGAAAAGACCGCTCCTAGGGTCTCCCAAGAGATCTTATAGGACTGCGTAAGGGGAGTGTCTAGGGGGTACGTACAGGCTCAGGATTGGTGTGCCTCCAGGCTTGGAGGGCTTGCCCTGTGTTGATTGGTCAACTGGTTGTTATGGCCCATAGGTCCTCCCAGGGTGGTTGCTATGCTCTCTACGTCATTGCTGTGTGCTTGTCCGTAAAGCACACCCAGGGTCGTAAAGCATAGCGCCACCAGCTAACTTCTGATGGGTTCCTTGTCACGAGGCAGGCATCTGACTTTCTAGTGTCTGGGACAAGGTCATAGAAGCACGTGTTCGGCCATTATGGCTGGTCCCTTCAGCTACATATAGAGTTCCAGGCCAACCTGGGCTCTGTCTCACAAACAAAACAAACAGCAACAAAAATCAGACATACCAAGGACAACAGAAAAAAAAGTGTCAAAACTCTACCTGATATCATATCTGGGGACAGCTGTCAGACCGCTCCACCAAAGTGGACCTGGGCATCCATCTAGGGCTATTACATTGCAATGCAGATGTGGTTTCAATGTAGATTTCCTTTGGGCGACAGGTTCCAGCCAGTCTAGTGTTTACTAGAAAACACGAAAATTTAGAAGTTACGTAGTTTTTACATACATATACTACACATTTCTATTTGTTTTCAATGTTGACAATTAGTTGGATTGTCAAAACAAATATCAAACACAGTACAAAGACATTTAAATCCATCGGTATTTATGAGAGGCCTCACTGACCAGCGTTTAGCAGTCAGAGGTCCATCTCTGGATCCGAGCACACATCAGAGATTTGAGTTTTTAATCTTCTCCCCCCCCCCATCTTTGCCTTAATCTTTACTGAACCCGGGTCTTCCCTGGAGACTGAGAGAATTTAAGAAGATAAATGGGTAAAAGTCTCTTAAGGGAGAGGAAGAGGACTGAAAAGGGAGCCAGCGGGTATGAGGAGCGAAGGTTTCTCTGTGCCCCTGAGACCCACCAGTGTGGACTCACTCTGACCCCTCACTGCTTGCCCGCAGCCCATCGTTTTAGCATTTCATTATGGTATTCAGGTGTTCAGAGAACTGCATAAAGCCCTTGGAGCCACGGTTAAGCAAGAGACGCTATGGAAGCAGGGGATACCATCGTGATGCCCAGTTTTAGCCTAGGTGGTGGAATTTTGCAGAGCACCGTCCCCCTGCCCTGGATTGCTCTCTCCACAGTGAATGGTTTTCTGTTTTAAATGTTCAGGCCTTACTCAGATGCATTGGGGAAATCCCAACTCTCAAAGTGATGGTACTAAGAGGGGCAGGCTATAGACAAGTTACGAGAACAGTAAGACAGCCTTTCTGCATAGGATTCTGGCCCCAAAGACATCCAGGGGAGTTGCTTTGCCCCTTTCCCTTGAGAGGTCATGGTGAGAGGATTACATGTGTTAACTAGAAAATGAACTTGTACCAGACACTGAAGCTGCCAGTGCCTGTCTTATAATGCTCGCCTCTAAAAATAGGAGAAAGAAATTTGTTTATAAGCCTACAACTTCATAATACTTCTTTATAGCATTTCCAACAGACTGAGAAATGGTTACCCTACAGACATACTGGCTCAGGACCCCTCTCTCCCTGCCTATGAGTGCTAATGTTTGGCCTGGTTGACTTTTCATAGATTAGCTCTAGATTTCTTTGGGTTCCCATAGCTCCTTGAAGTTCTTTTTCTCAGTTCTTGGAAAGCCTGGTGAAGTCACCAATAATATCAACTGCAGACTTCCCTAATGGTGCCAGGGGCATTTCGAAAGGAATTTGCTTAACCCTCCAAGGCAGTTGCCTAGGGAAACAAGATGATGATGTCACAAGGCATGACACTTGCAGTTCTCCTTCAGTCCCCTTCTGCACCGGCTGAGGTAGGGTCCTGTCCATTGCTCTCCCCAGCCACTAATGTCTTATATGCCCCAGGGCAGAGCAGAAGCCCTTGCTTCTCCCCTCCCCCACCCGCAGCCATGTCTACGCTCAGGTATGCTGGCCCCAGCTATCTCCCTAGGCTTCTTCCCTCTGGGCACAAAAATGCTATTCAGATGGAATGTCTAGACATCTTTTGTTCTCCAGCATAAGGGCAGGGAGATTGAGACTCCCTTGAGTCTGTCCCTCGGGGATGAAAGGCTGTTTCAAGCTTGACAATACCTCAGAGGTTTCACAAGTAGAATGACTACATTTGACTCCCTTATCTTTCCTGGAGCCATAAACACACCCAAGTCTCTACTTCCTGCTTTAAGAAAACCTCACATTCTTCGAAGAGCCACCATTACCACCCCTGACCTTTCTGACCAAATGGAAAGGAAGAACAGAGGCATGACCTTTTACTGAGGCGGCATTTATAACAGGTTATTCGGCGACTGTGCCCTGTTCAAAGTGCAGCTCTTGTTTGTTGCTTGCCTCAAAGCCTTGTTTTGAAATATGTACAAGCGGTCAGGTTTTCTAAAAGCAGCTATCTGAAAGCTTTCCTCCCGAGCTTATAAGAAAAGGTGCCTAAGAGAGACTCAAACTCCAGCCTGCCTTGAAACTCATTCCCAGGGGGGCTCTGTTTCTACAGCTCTCCAGCCTGATCAGAGAGAGCAGTTGTGACTCCCAGGACTCAGGCAAAGCAGAGAGCAAGGTCACTGCTCCCATTCACGGAAGCCATGACGAAGACAACCACTTGCATATATCACTTCCTTGTTTGGAACTGGTACATCTTCCTCAATTATTACATCCCACTTATTGGAAAGGATGAAGAGAAGTTAAAGGAATTCCATGATGGTGGACGTTCAAAGTACTTGACGCTTCTTAATCTGGTAAGTATGCGTGTGTCTGGAACCAAGTTATCAGGAATGTGAGAGCTTTTCCATACACCACTTTTCTAACCACTTTTTGAGTCCCCTGTATGTCTTCCTTCTTCACGGTTGGTGAGTCTTGGGCTTCCCCTATTATTTAGCAATTTGCTCTGAGGAACTCAGTCTGGAAACTCTCCATAGCTACTGGGGCTCCTGATTGTTAAATGCTCTCTTACAAAGAGAGCCAAAATGGGGGTGCACAGGCTTGAAGTACAAAACATAGGAGAGATTTCGAACCCTGCCTGGGAGTCTGTGAGAAGGCAGAGTGTCGCTTGTTGTGTGGGAAGTGTGACTTCCAATGGAGGAATAATGTCCTTTGACAGCACACACCGATTCACAGATTTATCCAAGAAAAGCAAACACATTTTGCCACCTTCTCTCCCACTACAATTTTTTATAGGCTCAAGTTCCATTTGAAAGGAGAGATCACCCGAGCCAGCAATCAGTACGTACACAGTTTCAACTGTTTTAAAACCAAACTCGAAGCTTAATACCTTCTTGTCTTTTTAACGTGGCTGGTCACATGCTACTGAAGAAAGTCTGAATGAGTGGAAGAAAAACTGCCATGTAAGAAGGATTTTAGGGAGAAATATATATATATATATATATATACATATATATATATATATATATAAAGTTGGAGCATCCTACAGACATGGGAATTGACATTTAAGTCTTTGTTGTTGTTGCTAAAATACACAGTTCTATAAAAGCATCTGGTTTCAGGGATCTGGAAAGAATATTCTTATTTTCAAGATTTATCTTTTATATTGTAAGTGTTTTACATGCATTGTCTACATGTATGCATATGTGCCACATATATTTCTGGTGTCTGTGGAGATCAGAGGAGGGCATTAGATCCCTGGAACTAGAGTTACGGATGGCTGTGGGTGCTGGGAACCGATCCTGGGTTCTCTGGAGGAGCAGCAGCGGGTTTCCTTAACTGATGAACTCTCTCTGATCAGAATGTGATAACCCTTAACATGGCCAGAAAGAGGCACACTGGAGTGCTGAGGAGGCAGAAATGTTGAGTTCAGACTGAAGAGGACTTTGAGGCACTGTCCCCTCCCTTCTGGCCTTGTGTTCACCTCTTGGTAACATATTGGCCTGAATATTTTGAGTTCTGGACTTAGCTCTCTTGTGCCAGAAAGTGTCAAGGTGGTTGTTTGCTTCAGTCTTGAGATTTTATGATGGAGAAAGTTGAATAGTCAGAAAACAATGAAGTTTGTATCTCTGTTAATCAATGCGGGGTGTAAGGGGGGGGGGGGTGTGCGTAGTACGGCCATTCCACCGCACAGAGTCACAGAGTAGTGGGACAGACTTAGCATGTAACTTCGTTAGACACCTCCCTGACCTCTTGTGGCTTTCAATGCCATGTTTTCCCCTTATTTTCTGTCTACTGACATACCTTAGTTTGATGCTTTCAAAAAAATCATAATGTCTTATTTATTTTGTGTGCATGTATGTGTGCATGTGTTGGGGTCATATACACCACAATGCACCAGTAGGAGTCAAGGGACAACTTTCAGGAGCCAGCTCTGCTTCCACCATTTGGCCCTTAGGATTGAACGCAGGTCGTCATCGCTGGGCAGAAAGTATGTTAAAGAGTCTCCCACAGACCCAAATCGTATTCTAGTTTGATCGAATTTCCTGCCTGGCTGCTGGTTAGCCACAAAATCAAATCCCATTTGTTTTTCTTTTTTGTTGGACCCACCTTACTCTCCCCAAACTTCCTGCCTCTCTCATTCCAAATTTGCCCCAGAGACCACATTAGCTCTGCATTCTCCTTCCCTACCTGAAGTACCTGGCCCTCCAATTCTCAGATTCCAGATTAATCTTCTGAAGCCCTTTTTTATTTTTCTTGAATTCCTTTTAACACGATGGCCTCATTTGGAAAAACAAAAAAAACAAACTCAACTCTCAGGTCCCCTTCTTCCCAGGAAAGTTGGGTCTCTAAGAGAAAGGCCACTGTCTCGCTAGTTGTGTCCATGGGTTTCCTTCCTCCTTTCTCTGCTCATAGCCTACTGGCCTCTGTTCATTAGTTTGCTTCTGCCATAGGCTTCCAGAGCCCATCTGAAATCCCATGTACAGTACTGTTTTCTAGACCTTTCCCTCCTTTTTCTGTGAATATACAAAACTTTTTTTTTTTTTTTTTTTTTTTTTTTTTTTTTTTTTTTTTT